GAAATTTCAAAAGTAGTCGGTGAAATTCTAGATATTCTTCTACAGGATTTGTGCTGCTTCTGCCCACTAATAAACGTATGTGGCCAAGAAGGGGTATCCGTAGTTCTTAGCTCTAGAGTGGTGTCTCATCTGTGTCATCTCCTTCGTTCTGCTTCTTTATCCGTGCTCTGAGTTCTGATGATGCTGTGTACTTGCACAGCATGTCTAGCAAGGACTTTCTAAATGATTTGCAGAGGAAAAAATATATGAATGGATCTAGGCAGGCATTTAGTGATGTCAGCCACAGCGTGCTCTCTTTCAAGTAAAACAAAGTGTTCTGAGCAGAGCATTCAAAAACATCTCTTGTTTGGCTCAATGTGTAGGGGATTCTAGTAAAGTGGAATGGCACAAAACAAATAAAGAACACTGCGATAATGATGAAAACCTTCAGATTTACAGTCTTTTTGGATGCTTTTCCTATGCATCTTGTCCTTTTATAGGATTTGTACAGTTCTCTACTTATGAGTATGTAGCATATAACTATGACTGCTAAATTAATCCAGAAGATAAGTTGACAAATATAATTTACGATTTCATGCCAGACTAAGCCAAACTCAGATTTCAAGAGAGCACACTTTTTTACATTCTTAGGCGTTTTCTTCTTGTTCGTTAGAATCATGTTGGGTAATGAAAGAGCAAACATTGATACCCAAATTGCTGTGGACAGGATCTTGGCACCTAAAAGGCTCCTTGGTGTTGATGTTCTGAACGGCGAAGCAGCTTTCTGATAACGATCGATAGTTATTAAACCAAGAAACAAAATGCTAATGTACATGGTGAAGTAAAATACAACCTGGGTGACCTGGCACACAAATCCTCTCAGTACCCATGATACCAACTTTGCATCGCTAAGGATTTTAAATGGAAAAGTCAGGATCATGAGGATGTCAGAAATTACAGTGTTCTTGAGGAAGATGATGAAATTGGATTTACTGGATATTTTAAAAAAGACCCACATTGCCAGGCCATTCATGGTGATACCCACCAGGAACAAAACCGTATAAAGCAAAGGAAAAATTACTTGACTGATTTTGTTATCGCTGGTACAGTTGGTGTTGTTTCTAGAGTAGCTGAAGTTGGCTGTGGGTTTCATTTGTACTTTGCCTTTTCCCCCCTCCTGTAAGAACAAAAAAGAAAAAAAAATGAAATTGTGAGTTATATCTGTCATAAGACTTCAACCTTTTTAGTCCACTTATAATTTTTGTGTTGGGAACATTTCTTTGGGGATTTTGGCTGCTCTAAGTTGTGTTTTACTTTTACCGAGGATGTGTCAGGTTTCTACAGGAGAAGAGTACTAGATGTAGGCATGCCTGTAACGTGGCCTGGTTTGATCTTCTGTGGCTGAAATGCTGAGGTGACCGTCCATCCTAAGCTCCTGAGCTTCCCACACAGCTTTTCTGAGCCCCGTGCTGCCAGGGTGGGCAGGGGGCTGGCGTGGCAGTGGGCTGTGGGGGCGGCATGGCCGGTGTTGGGTCGCCCGTTCCTGGCGTGAGCGCGTAGGTGATGGCACGGCTCTCACTGGGGGCCCTGATGTGGATCTCCTGGCCCCTGCAGCCCTGCTGGTGCTGTTACGGCTGGGGGGGGGCCACCCCAGGCCCCC